TAAAAAATAAACACTTAAAACTCAAAATGAGCAAATACGGTTATCAAGCTCAAATCCAAAATATTCATAAATCCTTGAGCTATTTCTGTCTAGGTCGCCAAATTTCCTCAACACTTGTTGACCAAATGCAAAGCTCCATGAATCCAAACCACCAATTTTGATCGACTCAGAATTCATTTTCGATCCGGGTACTGAACAAAATTAGGTTATGACACACACTAATGAAACTAATTAAAAAACACATCAAAAAATTTGTTAAAAAATGGAAGAATAATCGGTTTAGTAGAAAGAAGATATGTCACCACACAAAACAAGAACCTTTTGCAGAAGGAACAGACGAATGCTACAACTGTCAAACACTAAGAAAAATTAGGAAATGTAGGCCAAAGATGATGTATACCCTTAACCCATTAAGCTCATTTATATAGCATCACTTTAGCTATGCACTATTAGTTTGACCCCATATAGACTACTTGGGCAAAAATAGATTCTACAAACAGATCCAACAAACTTCAACAACACCCCAAGCTGGATGTTCAATATTTACCCTATTTCAACCACCTTTCAACACCTCCCCAAGCTTGATCTTCAACATTTACCCTGCTTCAGCCAGCCTTCAACAAGCATAAAAAAACCACAAAACACCAGAAATAAAAGCTACACAACAGACATCATTGATGAGCAATTGTTTTTTGAAGAAAGACAACCTTAAGATGCTCTCTTAACTCCTGAAATCGAGCTGTGGCAAGTGGGCTTGTAAGAATATCAACAATTTGAAACTGAACTTGAACATAATTAACTTCCAACGTTTGACCAAAAACGTTTTCACGGACAAAGTGAACATCAAGGTCCACATGTTTAACTTTAGCATGCAGAATCAGATTAGCTGCCATAGCAACAGTGATGGTTTTATCACACCAAATAGTAGGAAATTTAATGAATTTCAACCCCATGTCACTTAGAACAACATTGACTGAAAGCATTTCAGATGTAGCATCAGCCAAGCTGCGGTATTCAGCTTCACTCGTGGACGTGGACAAATATCGTTGCTTCTTCGAGCACCAAGACAACATGTGCTCGCCCAAAAACACACAGTAAGTAGATACTGAGTGACGATAATCTAGATCACTTCCCCAATCTACATCAGTAAATGACTTCAAGGAAAGTTCATTATTACTTGGTGCTAACCAAATACCATAGTCTAAGGTGCCTTTAAGATACCTGAAAATCCATTTTACCCATGACCAGTGTGATTCAGAAGTATTCTGCATAAACTGGGTAACTTTGTGAACAACAAAAGAGATGTCTGGCCTCGTGTGACAGACATAATACAACGCCCTAACTGCACTTCGATACAGCTGACCATCAACAGGTGCACCACCATTGGTTTTACTTAGCTTAGGAACAACTGGAATATGTGTCTACAGGTTTAATGTTGATCATGTTGAACTTGTTAAGAAGTTCTTCCAGATACTTCATTTGGCTAATAAATAACTATGAGTCAAAATGAATAGCTTCAATTCCTAGAAAATAGTGAATAACTTCCATGTCCTTTAATGAAAACTTGGCATTGAGTTGCTTTATAACCTTCCGAACACAAGCATCAGACGATCCTGTAACAAGGATGTCATCTTCATAGACAGCAACATACAAAACATTATCATTAGTTACTCGAACAAACAAAGAATTATTAGCTTGAGAAGAATGAAAATCAATATAACGCAAATAGTCACAGAGTTTGTTAAACCAATTCCATGGAGCTTGTCGCAAACCATAGAGCGCATTCTTCAATCGACAGACAAGAGGTTCACCATTTTTTCCGATTTGTTCAAATCCCTCAGGCTGCCTCATATAAACTTCCTCACACATATCTCCTTTGAGAAATGCATTGTTCACGTCAACCTGTTGAACCTACCACCCACGTAAAACAACAATAGAAAATAAACATTTAGAGAGAAGAATCAAACAATCGGACTGAACGTATCCATGAAATCACAACCAGGGACCTGGAAGAACCCTTTTGCCACCAGCCTAGCTTTATAATGATAAATGGTACCATCATAATTATATTTAATTCGGAAGAGCCATTTACACACAATTGTTTTTCGATTAGATGGAAAAGGTACAAGTTCCCAAGTTTCATTATCCAACAGAGCTTTGTATTCAACCTCAACATCAGGCATTCAGTCCTTATGTTGCAAAGTTGCACGCACATTTTAAGTCATTGAGCACAATATGAAAAATCTTTGGTTTGAATACACTAGCCTTACTGCGAGTAATCATTCTATGGATGTTGCCACTTTGATCAACAAAGGGCTTTGCATGAACAACCGTAAAAGAAGCATAATCCTTGGCACTACTTGCTTGATCACCAATATTACCACCCTGACAACCACTATTAATAGAGTCATCATGAGGTTGACCACGAACACGTTCTATAGAGCTGGACATGGGTGCAACAGAACTTTGTTAATCACCAGACTATTGTGGGACAATCTCCACCTGATTGTTGCCACCATCAGATTGAATCTAACCATCATTGACATGACCATCGCCAATTTTCACAGCTGCAGGAAATGAAACAGCCCATGAGTGTCTAGATGAGTCGCGCATCCGGGGCTATTGACCATCTGCACGAACTGAGCAATAAGGAAATATATTTTCATTAAACATAATATTTAGAGAAATACAAACCCTTCCAGTATCATCAAGACATTGATAGACATGATGCTGTGGAAAGTACCCAAGAAAGATAAACGCCTTTGATCGGTACTCAAATTTATGTCTATTACATGCCCTCAAGCACGAAAAGCACTGGCTCCCAAACACTTTTAAAAATTGGTAGTTAAGCATCTTCCCATATAGCTTTTAATGTGGCGAAATACCACCAAGAGTGCTTGTTGATAATCTACTGATCAAATAAACTGCAGTGAGAACAACATATGACCAATACTTGAAAGGCACTGAAGATTGAACAAGAAGAGTTAAGGTAGTGTCAATGATATGGCGGTGTTTCCATTTCACTATGCCCTTTTTTTAGACATATGAGGGCATGTGACACGATGTTGAATCCCAGCAGCATCAAGCTCTTTTTCAAGAGCTCGGAACTCACCTCCACCATCCGTTTGCAAAGCTTCAATGTTAATATGAAACTGATTCTTTATTAAATCATTGAACAAAGAAAAGACATCGAATTTATTCCTCAATAAGTAGACCCAACAATTTTTGGTGTACATGTCTACGAATGAAACATACTACAACCAATTTCTGGACTTAATTGGCGCAGGACCCCAGACATCAGTTTCAACCAGTTCAAATGGTCGAGTATACACCATGGTAAAAGACGTAAAAGCAAGGTTATGACTCTTCCCTAATTGACAGACACTACACAAACGATTAGTTTCAGTTTTATTCATCTTATGAGAAAGAAAAGTCATGACACTGTGAGATGGATATCCCAAGCGTCTGTGCCACAATCAGTAGTAGAAACAGATGCAAAAGATGTTATATCAGAAAATGATACAACATGTGTAGTAGTGGTATGATGCACAATACCATAAGAGTCAATAACAGTATCAAAACAATACAACCAATCTTTCAATTTTCCTTCTAGTTGAACTGCCCTCGTAGTTTCATCATTCACAAAACATTTATATGAATGAAACTCAAACATACACATTATTATCACATGTAAACCTAGAAACAGACAGCAGATTCCTTGTAATACGAGGCACACAAAGCGCACTATTAAGCTTAAAATCACTACTACCAACAGAGAAGATATCATTGCCAATAATATCTTTAATGTAGAACCATCACCAAGATATATATTACCATTCCCGAATACGATTGAGATAAAGAAGAACTAGAGCCTTCATATGTGACGTGATGCGCAACACCCGAATCAGGAAACCATTTATAAGCAATATATAAGACTCCTCTAGCTATGAGAGAATTGACATTTGATGTGTTGTCAGTCTCACATTCATCAGACAGATTGTTCCCTGCAGGAGAGCTCACAAAAGGATTGTAACATACATTAGTAGTCTCAGAAGAAAATTTACAAACATTAGCTTAACCATCAGCATGATGCTTAAAATGTTGAGAAGACTCATTTTTAAAGGTTTTATCAAAACAATACTAACACCGCCCAACCAAATGGCCCAGCTTACCACACAACTGGAACTGATGCCTAGGACGACCCTTATACCAATTACCAGGCTGATTCTTGCCTTGATTATTAGAAACACCATCACTCCGAGCATTACTGCCAGTATTACCCCTATGATTGGCCATGTTTATACTGTCAGTTACCTTAACAGGTTCTCTAATGCGGGACTCTGCATCAATAAGCACAAAGGTTACAGTATCAAATGTATATGGCTCTCGACTCACCGTTATAGCATCCACAAATGGTTCAAACTCAACTGGCAATCCATTAAGAAAAGTAACAATTTGGTCAATCTCAGACACTAGATACAATAAGTTGTATTTATAGTTTGATGAGAAATACAATTATAGATACCTAATAGATTGATGTTATATCCAATCTATATAAAGAGTTTTTACGGCAAGAGAAAAACCTATATTCTTGAAAGATCACAACCTAAGCAAAATCAAGATTAGTTCAGGTACGCTTCTACGTCTCGCATTTTATTCTTAATTTGGTATAATCAGATCCTAGTTATCTTTATATTTATTATAGTTTGGTTCTAATAATAAATTGTAATAATATATAAATGTTAAAGATTATATTTGAATGTGGTTAAATATAGGTTAAAGAATATATTTTTATTATATCAATATTATTAATTGTCACATCCATCTTTCATCAATTACTTAATTATAAAAGATTATTTCATAACTTTTGATAAACTTGAGTAATGATTTAGAAAATTTTCATAATTAGGGGATATAAATAAAAACTATGATGCTACCCCATAAATTAGAAGTTCTTGTCCCTCAGCTCTGTTCCAGTTAATAGCTGCTACCCCTAAATACTTGAATAGTGGAAGAAGGAATATATTCAATTCATTCGCTTAATCAAATTGGGTAAAATGAAGGTGAAAGTAGTGTGCAGGAAACTGTATGACTACATCCGATACGATCTCAAAGAAATAGCTTTTCCTTCTTCATTGCCTGATCCTCCCCACATCAAAAAACGCCGCAAATTGACTTGGCACGAGCGTTTCCTAGTAAGTTTCCCTACCTTTGTTGTAGTTTAGATTACTGATTGATTTCTGGGTTTAAACGATGAATGCTGCTAGGTTCTGTATTTTTTTTTGTTCCCATCCTTTCTTTTCCCGTTTAAATAATTGTATTTGTTGATGTTTTGTGTAATAGGAAAGCTATTTTACTATCGGCTTTTGGTTTAGTTATTACTTCCACTTTAAAGAGCATTATTCTATCACTCTCCATTATAGTGAAAATAGTGAGCTTGGTTAGTAAACGAACCTTTTTTTTCATTTTTCTTTTTGCTGTAAGTAAAATATTTCTAACTCTATTTTTTATGGAAAATAAAATGCATGGTTTTACCTTAAATCATGGCGTGTGTTTGAAAGTGCTTTACATTTGAACGTATGCTGGTGATTCTGTAATTATTTTTGTTTATTATATATATGCATTCTTGCTTTTGTTGTTTATAACAAGTTAAGGATAAAGAAGATAGAAATATCACAGGTGCCATATCTGGTACTCCAGGAGCAAACTGGATCAGTGAAATTTGAATTGATTAAATGACTTTTTAAGTACCATTCTGCTACGGTGACAGTAAGGACTTGAATCTCAAATTATGATCAAGGACATATGGTTTGCCTATTCTATAGTGAATAAGAGGCATTTTTCTTCAAGTATATCAGTAGTAAATATCTTTCATCGATATTTAGGTCTTGAAGGAGGCCTCAAGGCTTTATGCTGCAAGCTGGGTGAGGGATATTGGTCCTGATCTTCGACCAAATGATTATAAGAAGGATGATGAGACTGAAGGTAAACCCAATGGTGATAAGAGTAGGGCTAAAGTGACAGAACCTTCAACATTGGAAGACATTGGTAAGGAAATTTACTCTGTGATTTCATATCATGAAACTTATCTGATGTATAAGTTGTTCTATAATGAATCATGAAGTATATAACATAGCTTGTGTAGTACGTGACAACTTCTATATACAATAAACCTTTTGTTCCTTAAATTATTTAAATACGTGATGCAGTTTTTTGTTATGAATAGACCATTTCACTTCTAATGGATCCTTTAGACTTGAGCTTGCAACTTCGTATGGAGGTCAAGGAACAATGTGCTGTAATGTTGAGCTCTGAAGAAATGTATGATATTGAATGTGCAAGCTCCTTCTGTTTAATGGTTGGTGCTAATAAGGGACAAATTAGTCTTAGAAGTACCAAAAACTTGGGTTAAACCATATTTTTGGTCTTAGTTCTAAAAGCTTCCCTATTTTCCAGGTCAGGCTCACTCCCCCCCCCTCTCTATTCACCGAAATTCCATTTTCTTTCAACTCTCTCATTTTTTTATTACATACTCCCTATCACTCCTGATGTAAGTAGATTCTTTCTTCCTTAGATCCTGATCCTCAAGCTCTTCTTGCCATTACTTGATAGAAGGAAATCAGACTAAGGTTTTCATTTCAGTTTCCCTATTTAGTAGAACTCTTCTAGAGGTAGCATGATTCTTTGATTTTTATCCCCTTGTTGCTCTGTTCATAGGATTTGTTAGCTACCTTAAGTTCCAAGAGAAAGTTAGAGAGAGAGCGTGTGAGAACTCGGGGGGTATTGCTTCTTCAGACAAAGGTAGATCTTTGCCTGGAGGAGTCTCTTGGGTTGCCTTCGTGGACAACCTTAGCAGGTATGTGAACAGAAGGGAGTTATGGGATCGTTTTAATCGTTATGGTAAAGTGATTAAGGTATTCATTCCTTTCGTTAATAGGAGACCAAATTATAAGTATTGCACGTTTGCCTTTGTGCACTTTGCAAGTAGAGAGGATCTGCTCCTTGCAAAGGGTAGGATGAATAATGTTTTGATTGATGGGAGGGCAATTTCGGTTTCGATTGCGAGATTCCAGAGGAAGAATAGTTTGAGGAGTTCGGAGCGTAGTAGCGTGGCGGGGGCTAGGAGTGAAAGTGCAGAGGAGCATTGGGGGAGAAGCTCGAAGTCCCGGGTTCACGATGGAGGGAAGATGCCGGTGAACAAGTTTTATGATGGAAGGTCATATAAGGATACGGTTGTGGGAGTTAAGGAAGGTGAGGGCATGAAGGTGAGTAGTTATGGAGTTAACAGGGGAGTCAACAATTATGGAGTCTCTAGGGAGGGGAAGAAACCTTTGGATGTGTTAATTCCTAAGGATGAAAGTTCTTAGTTGAGAGCGTCTTTGACTGGAATTTGTAAGGAGACCTTTGAAGTTGATTTCGTGCAGAGGGCTCTTACAACTGAAGGTATCAATGCTAAGGTGGTTCGTTGGGGTCATGCTAATAATGCGTGCTTAGTAGTTTTCCGATCTGTAGAGGAGAAAGTAGCAACGGTGGAAGAGAAATGGGAGGCTCTATCATTCTGGTTTGATAGGTTGGAACCTGTCTTGGACGTGAATAATGTCCCTTTGATGTATTGTGCGGTTTCCTTGATAGGTGTCCCTTTAAACTGCTGGTCAGTTGATTTTTTCACTAGTTTAGCTTCTAGATGGGGCGCTCTAGTGAAGATTCAGGAGCAATCTGTTCTGAGATCGGATTGCAGAGTGGCAAGTCCGTTTGATATACCTCCTCAGGTCTATGTTAAAACGTTCGGTAGGTCGTTTACTGTTAAAATTAAGGTGGAAGGAGGTGAAGATTTTTTCCCGGTGTTAGACGAGGTGGTTGAAGAAGTTGGTACTGTGGATCCTTGGGCGGAGAATTCACAGGAGTGGAACCAAGGGGATGAAGTGGAGGGGCAGGATGGGTTAATGGGTAGTCAGAAGATGTCAGGCTCTCAGGTAAGAGTGGAAGCATGGGTTCGGGATTCTCCATGTGGGGTTGGTACGCGTGGCGAGGGGTGTGTCAAGGAGAAAGAAGTTGGTGATTGTAGTGGGACTATTAATTTATGTTTGGTGGAGACTGCTTCGAGTGGAGATCCAGGTCAACAGGAAGTGTTGGGGGAATTTCTCGATGGAAGAGAAAAAGGATTGAGCAAGGGAGCTGTCTCTTTGAGGATTGGAAATTGTGACCAAGATAATAGGTTAAATTTTAAATTGGGGTCGGTGGAGACTAGTGGGCCTTCAAATGGTTTTTTGTAGTCTTAAAAATGTTGGTAATAAGTTGGTTTTAGTAACTGATTCGGGGATGATATTCATACTGTTTATAGGATGAAGGAGGGGGATGTTCTTCAGCAGTCAGGCTCGAAGGCTGCGGCTCAAGAAGATGGTTTAGAGATGGAAGGTTCTCGTGGTTCTCTTTTGAGTTCGAGTGTCAGAAAGCTAGATGGGAATCAGGGTGCGAGGTGCTCGATAATTCCTTTGGATGATAAATGCAAATCACTGGGAAAGGAGGGAATTAGTTTTAAAAACTCGGTCCAATTCCTGTCTCGTCCCTGGAGTAATGCAAACCACATGAAGTTAAGAATTGCTCCCACTAATTCCGGTAGTGTCGGCTCGGACGGTGAAGTTTCTATTACTTTTCTTGATAGAATATATAGAAGGGTGGATAGGAGTTTTTGTAGGGATTCTTTGGACCATGATAGGAGAACTTTAGAGCATTCACACCCTTCGGGTCATGCAAGAAGTGAAGCAGTTGCTACCAGGGAGGTTTGTGACTTGTTGGGGATTTCCTTTAAAGAAGGGTAGGAAGTTTTCGAAGATCAGATAATGAGGATGGAGTTGATAGGGGTTCCTCGGGATTCCTGAGTGTTGGTGACTGGTTGTTTAAGGTTGTTCTCATTGTTATTCAAATGTCTCATTTGAAAATGATCTCTTGGAATGTTAGGGGACTGGGGAAATCAGAAAAAGTACGAGTTGTTGCTAGATTAGTCACCAAAGTTAAACCTACCATTATGCTTTTGCAGGAAAATAAACTGAATAAGTTCCAGAATGGATTTTGGAGGAAATTGGGAGGTACTTGGTTGAAAGGAAAAAGCTGTCAGCCAGCAGTTGGATCTGCAGGGGGCTTAATATGTTTGTGGAATGATAATTTCTTTGAAGTCAATAGGGAATTTTATCATAATAGATTTATTGCTTTATCAGGGAAATTTAAGGCTATTAATTTTGAATGTGTTATTATTAACGTATATGGTCCGGCTGTAGAGGCTGATAAGGAGGTTTTCTTCAGGGAGCTGAGTAGTTTTGTGCATACTCTAGAATTGCCAGTGTGTGTAGGGGGGGATTTCAACGCTTACCTTGATCCAGAGGAGAAAATTGGAGTGGCTCAAAATTGGCATTCTTTGGATATTTTTAACGCTTTTGTACAGGGTTTTAATTTTTTGGATTTACCGTTAGTTGGAGGGAGGTTTACTTGGTGCAATAATAGGGAGTTTTCAACTTGAATAAGATTAGATCGGTTTTATTAACGGATAGCTTCTTTCAGAATTTTCCAAAAGCAATTCAAAAGCTGTTACCTAAATCCCTATCCGATCATAATCCTTTGTTGCTTGAAGAAGATTGTATAGAATGGGGTCCTAAACCTTTTCGGTTTTTCAATTATTTGTTAGAGGAAGATGGGTTTGATGGGGTGATTCAGACTCGATTTATAATTTGAAAATGGAGAATGGTCGAAGGGGTTTGCTTAGCATACTACAAGGAACAAAGAAAGAAATAAAAAACTGGCCAAACACAAATCAGAAGGGGTTTTCGGAGCAGATTTCTGTTGTGGAAACAAGAATACATGAGTTGGAATTGAGGTCTCAAGGTGGTGGCATTTCTGCTCAGGACAGGGAGCAGCTTCTGCGTTGGAGGAATGATTTGTGGAATTTGCACAGGAAGGAGGAAAGTATTTGGCTACAGAAGTCAAGACAAAAGTGGATAACGAATGGGGATAGAAATACCAGATTCTTCCACTTATGTGCCTTGAATAGGAGCAGAGTAAATGCAATTTCGACCTTGAAAGTGGCGGGTGTTGAGGTTACTGATCCGGACCAGATTAGAGCTGCTATTTCAGATTTTTTAAGCGCAGTTATAATGACAATTCAACTCTGGAGGTGGACGAAATTAATCTGAACTTTGCCAAATTAACAGATGACCAAATGGAAGGTTTAGAGGCTGCTTTTTCGGAAAAGGAAGTGTGGGAGGCTATCTTCTATTCGGACAACGCGAAAGCACCTGGTCCGGATGGATTTACTATGGGATTTTTAAAAAAATTCTGGCCTTTAATGAAGGAGAATATTATGAAATTTGTTCAAGATTTTCACAAAGGTAGGCAATGGGAGAATGGGGTTAATCATTCTTTCATTTCTCTAATCCCCAAAAAACTGAATCCAGAGGTAATTGAAGATTTTAGACCCATAAGTCTTGTTGGCAGCATTTATAAAATAATTTCTAAAGTGCTTTCGAAAAGGCTAGTTTCAGTTATTAATGAAATTGTTAGCCCATCGCAATTTGCCTTCATTCCGGGAAGACAATTGCTTGATTGTGCTCTTTTGGCTAATGAAGGCATTGAGAGTATTGGAGGAAAAAGGGGAGGCGTGGAGTAGTCTTCAAAGTTGATTTCCGTAGGGCTTTTGATTCAGTTGAATGGCCAATTTTACTGAGATTAATGAAGGTTATGGGTTTTGGAGATAAATGAATTTCTTGGATTGATCGATGCATTTCTACAGCCTCTATCTCGGTGTTAGTGAATGGATCTCCTACGAAGGAATTTCACATTTCTAAAGGGTTGAGACAAGGATGCAGTCTGTCCCCTCTTCTGTTCAATTTAGTTGGGGAACTTTTAAACTTAATGTTGATCAAGGCTGCGGATTTAGGCCTTTTCCAAGGGTTCAGAATCGGTATGGATGGTAATTCCTTCCATTTGACCCATCTACAGTTTGCAGATGATCTAATTTTATTCTGCAGTGATTCACCGATGCAGATCTTAAATATTAGGAGAGTTTTGAGGGTTTTCAGTGTTATGTCGGGGCTGCATTTAAATTTGTCAAAGAGCACTTTGTATGGCGTCAATTTAGGGGTTGATAGGATTAAGGATTGGGCTAAGGAAGCGGGATGTGGAGTGGGGTCTTTTCCAATGACGTACCTCGGTTTACCGATTGGTTCAAGTAGGAATTCTGTAGGTTTGTGGGAACCGGTAATCCAGCTTTTCATCAGAAGACTAACAGGTTGGAAAGCTAATTCTTTGTCGATGGGTGGTAGACTTGTGTTGGTTAAATCTGTGTTGTATTCTTTGCCGATTTTTTCTCTCTCTATCTTCAAAATTCCAGTAAAGGTGACTTAGAAATTAAATTCGTTGATGGATAACTTTCTTTGGGGAGAAAATCAATATAAAAATCGAATTCACTGGGTGAATTGGAATTCGGTGTGGAAGCCTTTTGAAGAGGGAGGGTTGGGAATCCTTGATATCAGCTTAATGAATAGAGCCTTGCTTGGGAAATGGGTTTTGGAAATTCGCAAATGAGAAAAACAGTCAGTGGAAGAAAATGATATGCTGTAAAAATACTGTTAGCAACTTATCTCTTGCATTATCACAGGCTGCTTCACCTATAGATTCTTGGGTATGGAGGGGTATTTTGAATAATTATGTAAAAAATGATTCGATGGGAGAGTGTTTGAGAACAAATTCCAAGATCCATTTGGGGAATGGTAGGTCAATTGCCTTCTGGACTGATGTTTGGGTGAATAATTTGACATTGAAAGCTCAATTTCCCAGGATTTTTGCTTTGTCGACGAATAAACGGGGGCTTGTAGCCGAGTTTGGTGGTTTTCTTAATAATGTTTTGGAATATTCATCTAAGAAGAAACCTATGTGACTGGGAATTGGAGCAGTGGTTACTCTTATGTCTTTGCTCGATAATATTGCGGTTTCTGGTTCTTTGGAAGATTTTCTTGCTTGGTCGGGAAATGGGGCTGGTTTGTACTCAGTCAAGTCTTATAGACAGACGTTGTCCAGCAATTCTGAATGCAGGTTTGAGTGGAAGAAATGGGTGTGGACAGGTTTGGCTCCTCCTAGAGTCCAAACCTTTCTGTGGCAGGTTTGCCATCGTAAATTGGCAGTCCGAGTGGAGTTGAAGAAAAGGGAAATCCCTTTGGATAATGTTCTTTGTCCGTTTTGTGGTTACCATGAGGAAACATTAGAGCACCTATTCTTATTGTGTTCTGTTGCAAGAGAGATTTGGAATAAACTACTAAAGTTATGGGATATTTCTACTGCTTTGTCTCAAGATCCCATTTCCCTCCTCTGTTCTTGGGCAAACCTACGGCAGAATTCTATTATTTGGAGGTTTATCCCGACTGTCGTGTTATGGTCAATTTGGAAGGCTAGAAACTTGGTGGTGTTTGACAACGGAAATATGGACAACACAGCTCTTTTCTTCTTCATTAGACTTAGGTTGGCTAAATGATACCTTGCGAAATACCCTACTGCATGTTTGCATACTGATATGCTAGTAGGGGATCCATCGCGGGCTGATAAGATTCAAAAACCTTCTTGTTCAAAGAAGGTTATTGGTTGGTCACCTCCACCATTGGATATGTTTAAATTTAACTTGGATGGGGTAGTAACAAGTGATGGGTTGAGAGGTGGAATTGGAGGTATTTTAAGAGATTCAAATAGCTCGACCTTAGCCACTTTCTCTACAGCAGTAGGGTCTACTCTTCCTATTCTGGCAGAACTAAAAGCTATTAAGGAGGGAATTGATTTTTTCTATTCATCTGGTTGGTTTAAGAAGGGAAGATTTATTATCGAAAGTGATTCAAAAAGTACAGTGGATTGGATTAAGAACCAACAACCTGCCCCTACTTCCTTGCGTGATCTGGTACAGGAAATTGGGGCTCTTATTTATGCTTTGGACGCTGTTCTTAGATGGATTCCTAGGAGCTGTAATATGGAGGCTGATAAGTTAGCTAAGCAGGGGATTGGTTGATTGTCTGTAGATTTTTGGTTTGTATGTTTTGTGTTTTCTCGGGCAAAGCACAAGCTTTGAGTTTGTAAGGGTGGTGGTAGTTTTGTAGGAGGTAAACCAATCAGGTATCTAAATTGGTTTACCCTAAGTCAGTGGTGTTGGTTATGGTTGTTTTTGGGGTGTCTTCTGTTTTTCTGTTTTTGAAGGGGTGTTTTTCTGGTTGTATCTTATGTAATTTCAGGTGTTGAATAAATTTCTAAGGCACTCTTTTCCCCCTTCCACTGATTAAGGAGCTTCGTTATAAGCTCCTATAATCAAGAAGAGGGTTTTTAACGAGGCCTACAATTCTTATAAAAAAAAAGAGTCTATGTACATTCTAAAGGGTTTATCTTTGATCATATTTTCTTTAATTATATTGTTAGCACCTGTGTTGAAGTCCTAAATTTTATGCTGCAGTTGGCATATTTTTGGTAAACACTTCCTTCTTCACCAGGCCAAGGTTCTATTGTTAATAAAGGAAGATATTAATATATCGTTAATCTCCTAGGTGGTTTTGGTTATCCGGGTTTCAATTCCTAGAGCCATCACTGTGACAAGTCCTAGATTTTATACTGCTGTTGGTTTTTGTTAAACAATTCCTTCTTCACCAGGCCAAGGCTCCGTTGTAAATTAAGTGGTTTTTTTTTTATCTTGATTTCAATGCTTAGAGCCATCAATGTGAAGGTCATTCCGATGTCTCACATTACCTAGATACTTATTTTGTAAATAAAGTTCACGCTCTGACGAATGATAGCATGAGGTGGCAGTTGCCAACATTTTAGTTTCTGAATTTCGTAATAAAATTGGTCACCCTGAAGAATGATAGCATGATGTGCCATCTGCAAAATTTTCATTTTCTGAACATCTTAATATATATTTATTGTGTTATTTTAGTTTTTTAAATGAAAAGTTTTAGCTGTTGATATTTTTTTTTACTTGTTTTTTGCATTATTTACCTTGTGGGTACATCTCTTTTTCTACCAAAATATTTTGAGGCTAAATTTCTCTCCTTTCCGCCTTGTTTTTCTATTTTCCTGGTATTATATTTATCATGCTGAATTTTTGCACTTTTTTTATGTTGTTTACGGAAATGATTTAATAGCGGTTGCTGCAAGAGGAGGGATGGATACTTTGAGGCCTGCTTTACAGAGGTTATACATGACAAGGGCTTCTGCGTATAGAGATGCTCTTAAGAGTTTTATAGAAGGATATCAAGAAGGTATCCAGCAGGTCATGGAGAAAAAGGAAGATTCTTCTAAACCACAGCAAGACAGCAGTGCCAAGAAAAATTCAACTTGATGGCTGTTACGTGCATAAAAGGAGATGCATGTGAGTACTTCTCCAGCATACCTATTGTAGATACAAGTTTAGAGCTTTGGGGGAGCTGGGTTGGCTTGAAATCACAAGCATGATCCATATACTGAGAATTCTTCATTCATAGTGGTGAAACTTTTCCTTCTTGACGTTTCATGTTTGTTAGTTTTTGTTTTTAGTTTAGTATTCAACATCCTTATGCTTGGAGAAATGTAAAAGAACCATGATGCCTTATGTCTATGGTAAGAGCAACCGGAAAAATTACTTAGATATCTGCTGCCAGTTGGTAAATGGAGCCAGTCTGCATACTGTACTTGATCTTAACTTAACTGTTCTGTAAGACCAATCCTGAACGAGCTGCTCGTACACCAAAGAAACCATAAATGAGCTTGAATATGAAAGAAAAGTACTGTTCCAGTCTTATTGCAAACAATATTAATTGATGTTCTATTTGGATGCCGCTTTTGCTATTTTTCTTTTCATTTGATTTTTTGCCTTTGAATTTTAACATTTATTCGAAATAGCTTAAGTATTAAACAAATGAAGCCTGAGAAAATGAAGAATTAGGCATGTATTCCCCAGGAAAAAGTTTGTATTTTACTATAATGAAAAGCATCATGTAGCAAAAAATTTCTGTCTTCTTTTTGTTGGAATGCAAGTGGGACATTGTTTCTTCGTATGCATTGGAAGCAGGGTACTTCGGGTTTTCCTTCTCTGAAGTGAGGATCTTTTTTGGCCTCTTGAGGATTATTAGGAATCTATTGTGTGAAATATTCAGCCTACAATCAATTTATGATTTGTACAGATACCACTGGATTCTGCTTTCTGCTTTTTGCTTTTTGGGAAAGTCTTGTAGATAACAATTTTTGTCAAATTTTGCAATAGCAAATCTTTGAAGGACATTGCATATTGTAGAGATTGGAGGGGTTGAAAATGACTTGCACAACACAAATGGTTGAATGGAAGTGGGGGCTCCAGAATTAGAGTTTGGCGCAGAGTTGAAATTCCAGTTAAGCTTGCACTAACAATAGGATGTAACATTATTGTAACTTGTAAGATACCAGTTTTTCTTAATACTTTGTGCAAGAAATCTGGTACTCTGTCAACTTTAAGTGATACTGTTAGTGGGGCTATTGTACACCGGTCATCACCTGGTGAAATGTTTTGCTTTGAGAGCTGGGCACCTTTTTTTTCTTTTAAGCCTCCAGCTGCAAACTTCTATGAGATACTTCTAGAAAGTTATTTGTTTCCTCGGCGACTTAGGACGGCTCCTTTTGACTTCAAGATTAACTTTGCTTGCAGAGCTTGAGATCATGGACATTCTTGGTGCTAGACAAACCTTTATTTTAAAGGTATGTTTTTTGATGGTTCTAATAACTTTTAAGGTGTGCAATTCCCAACTTGATTTATTTTTCCTTTGAAGTTGGATTTTCAAGGTTACAATTATTACAATATCTAGTCATCTCTTGATATCTTGATTCTGGTCAATGTTGCTTTCAATACTATTGAATTGATTTTGTTCCTCAGGCTTCAAGCATGGATAAATTAACCTGTTTTTCTGTTGCAGATATTCGGAGAGTTGAAGATGAGGTTGACTTAGCTCCAAAAGCAAAAGGTATGATGAGAGGAAAAGCCAAGTGGGACACAGAAATATTCTCTTGTTCTTACTATATATATACAGTACATATGCATGATGGAATTATTCTTCCTGGACAAACCCATCATACAGAAGGAGACCCTTCAATCTCTTGATTAGCCATCACCCTGAGGTCAGTGATAAGAAATACATGGTGACCTCCCACTTGCAGAGCCACTGAAACATTGGAGGCCATTTCCAGTGGAGATCAATGGGTAACTCTCTTGTCCAAATCCTTATGGGCCCTGATGATTAGTAGACACTTCATCTGATTAGTCACTCTTGTCACCAAATCCATCTGCCTGTGTTAGCATCCCTTGGTTAACCTGGAATGTCTTTGAAACATGTGCATTCTAGCTAGAATCCTGTAGCCATTATTCCATACACATTGATGTGTGGTCCAACCTTCATTTAAGCACTTCGGACATGAAAATATCTGTTTAAGTAATCTAAGCCATTCATTCAAGGGTTGCTTATCGATTATTATCACTAGACTGCTCCCATATCAAACTCAGTTGACAATTAGTGAGTTTACAGAACTGTTGAGACTTAATGGTTTTAATCGTAACTTAGAAATATACTTTTCTATCAGCTTCCTCTGAGCTATCTGTATGATTGCTTGATTAAGAACATCCATTAGATGTTTCGATTCGATGGTTAAGTATGAGCTGCCTAATGCATAGGTGCTAGGCCTTTTGAGGTTACTGATTAACTAAAATTCTGTTCATAAGAACCTTATATTTTGTCTAGTTGGTGGATTCAGGTTCTTGAAAATGAGCCGTGGCTGTAAATTTTAGTGTTGAAAAAAGGTAGAGGAGAACTTAGTGGACAGGATGCATGGAGTTCAAGGTAAATTAAGTGCATTCCCTGTCAGACATGATATTTGATTGCATGCTACCGGTGACAGTTATGAGAATGTAGCGTATTTTGGTGATCTTTTTCAAGAGAAATTACACGTTCCGATTAGAATTTTCTAAACATTTCCTTTGTTTCATTATATGTATGGTAGTCGAAAGATTTCAAATATTTAAAATAGCAGGAACAATGTACCAAATCATGCACGCTGTGGCTGCTAGTTTCAAACTTCTGTTCCCCTCACCACCCCCATTTTCCATAGTGCTAGGTGTACTGTTTCATATGCTATTTTTCAATATATGTTGAGTTTGGCACAACGGCAACATTGTTCCTCGTTTTTTAAGTTCCGATAACAGGTATGATCCGGTGATAGGCTGGCCTGCCAATTTGTGTAATTGTATTATGTTTATAATATTTCCTTATGCCATAACTGTATACAAGATATATATATATATTCTAGCCATTTTGTTTGTTACTATCATATTCATAGTATTCATTCAAATCCTTTGGCAGGTTTATTGCATAAAGAGTAAACTTCTCCCCAAAGGGAAACTACAATGCTCGCTGCACTTGCCGTTGCTGGACGTGGGGAGGCAACATCGAACATTCATAGTGAGGTCCAGAGCTTGAAGGTGACACGAGTAAGTAAAAAAGGAGGCTCGTATTACATTCTATGCATAAAAAATGATAAAAGAGCTAGTTAAAAAGAGAAGATTAAAATGGTTTGTATTTGTGAAGCTTTTCAGATTCTGATATCTGCACTGCAACGTACATGATTAGATTATACTATTTCTACCATTAAAGTCAAGAAAGTGAGCCATCCATTGATGAACTGAATCTCCCCTACCCACCACTACCATCCCCATACCCATACATTATGATGATGATTAATAATCACTCATTGAACAACCGAATCCCAACAGTGCCCTAAATAGATTCCAAAACCACTTAGTTTCCCCCATTTGGCAATTTCCTTGCATCACCTGCCCATCCCCCCACTTCCTGCACTGATTTGTAGCCCCTACTTGAACAAAAATTAAATTATGATTTTAATTTCTTTTGATAATAATAATATAATTTTGACATTTCCAAGTGGGGGAGGGGGTCAGCAAAAATAAAATCTTGGATGTCACGTCTTCAGATCTTATCCTTGTTGATATCTCATCCTGAAATTCACATCCTGTTACAATCACAGCACCAAATTAAAAATATATGTATATATGCATCTTTAATTTTCTCTCGAGAATTTCTATAGTATATGTGTATAGGGACAAGCGGGTAGGTCGGGTGCGGATACCTTCTTCCATCCCCATACTTACCTAATATTTTTAAATCTACCACCCGCCCATCACCCATGATGGGTAAAATTTTTCAAATTCACAATCTGTCCACAGATACATTCTCATATCTATTCTCACACCCACTACCCAACTGGAGACGTACCAGGTTGATAGCAACCTTAAGTTATACATAAGCAACAAACATAAAACAAACACATCTATTAAAAAACATAATAAAATAAACCAATGATTATTTGATTTAAGTGTTAATATAGATCATAAAGTACATAAATTATAAGTTATATCTTATATAATATTATGATTTATAAATAAGTCTCTAAAATTATACTTAATTCATAATGATCCCAAATTTAATAAGTATTTAGTGGGCGAGCGGATGTAGGGCGGACGGATGCAGAACGAGTAAGGTCTTAAACCCATCATCCGCCCACTATCTGCGACTGATACCACTTTTTAAATCCACATCCGTTCACTACTTACTAAAGTTTTACCCATTCCCGCCCCAATTTGAACGGGTATGGTGCGGATTTTACGAAATTATACCCGTTTGCCAACCCTATATGTGACTAACTATTATGACCAAGTTGGAATGATCCAAAATGTCTTGGATTCTATCAAATGGAAAAAGTTGATATTTTTTTATTTATATTTTTAAGATTTGAAATTACAAATAAAAATAGAAGCCCGTGACTAAGCTTGCGGAATTGATTTGATCTCAACTTTATTAAGACCAAATCGATGGAACACGATTTGACCAATCATCTATTTGGGGTATGAGCATCTTAATTATTGAAATTCACCGTCAATTTGAACACGCAATGCAAAAACAAACACTGTTTGACTTGGAATTTAATTTAACTAACAATCTGGACTCCGTTCAGCACTTGGGATTTCTTTATTAAATTCTACAGCTCATTTATTCTATTTCATTGCTTTCTAAGCCAGTATAATTTTATAAGACGCTTATAATACTGTTCTATCTGTCTTAAATTTAATTCAAGTAGTAGATTCAATGCTAATCTTTTCTTAAAAAAGGAAACCACATGAATACTTGGTCATACTTTAATAAATGCAATTAGGCCACGTGCCAAATGGCAAACTCAACTTGCCAATTAATTATGAACCACAAACAAACAACAACAGGCAGAATCCCAATACTTTCTATTTTAATTTACATCATTTTTAATCATTTTTTATCATTAGATTCGGATGATGATGGTAATGAGGAAACATCAGGATGCATGCGGCTTACCATGTAGTTTGAAGGGTACGACTGAGAGTTATAAAACTGGCGGCTGGATTGTCGATGGCTCCGATTCGTCGAGCTGGCACTCTAGATTCACCCCAAACAGCCGCACCAGCCTCCTTGGGTTCCCGGCTGCTGCACCTTCGCTTTCAACAATGTTCCCTGAAAATATGCAAAGAAAGAGCTATTCACATTGCTAAATTTCACATATTCTATCGACATATGTGTAAGTACGTATGTATGTACCTGCATGAAGGCAGCCTGGGGGGTATGGCAGATTAGCAGCATGGCCTTGTATATGGCCAAGATAAGGATGTCCTTGATACAATCCCCTACTGCCACACCACATTTCATCGCCGCCGCCGCCTCCAGAGCCAGTTACGGTGTTTCTGCCATCAACTGGTGTCGAGGCTGCACCGCGCCTCCTGCAACCTATAAAGAACCTATCACCATCCGAACGGTGTCGTTGGAACAAGATAATGTCACCGGCATCAAGCTGCTTCTCTTTGACATATCGGCTCCACCCTTTGGTCAACACGTAGCTTTGGCTGCTGTTCCAATACGAGTAACGGAAACGCCAACACTTTCCCAACTCGTCCTCGAAACTCAGCTGCAACCCTTTGTCGCTGGACTCACCGCCGAGCGGGAAGTACTTCTCGGCATGCTGTTTGGGTATAACGAGCCTGTTGAGCTTGCCCACATCGCTGGGGGTCAAGGGCTTCTCGAACATGGGTTCCGTTTCATGGCTTTGGTCCTCGAGCCCTTGTTCTTCATGCTGGTTGAAGTTGAAGGAGGAGTGAGCGTGGTTGGAAGAGAAGAACATGGATTGTTTCAAGAGTTTTTTAGCTAAAGATTTGTGAGGTGGGAGAACAAGAAGCGCAGGGCGAGGGCTTTTGAAGAGGAAATAGAGGGGGGAGATTGTAGGGCCTAATGAAAAGACATATATGATATCTTTTCTTGTTGTTTGAGAGGGAAGGAGGAGTGGGCACAAAGAGGAGTAAACAGTATGGGGTTTGATGCAGACAATCAGAGAATATAACAAACAAATACCACTTTTCAAAAATATTGTTACTTTTTTTAAGGGGAAAAGTTGGGGTAAGGGGGAATTGTAACTTTACAAGAGTACATTTTAAGGTTTTTGCGTGGGGTTTTTTTTTTTTTAAAGAATGGGAATGTTTTGCGAATACCAAAGACATAAAGCCAGTGAATTCCAACTTATTTACTGAATTGAGTAGTAAAAGATAATGATATTATTCTTAAAGGATTTTAAGTTTGAATAATTATATTTAGAAAATACATGTTATTAATAATTAATTTTTTAAATAATTATCTTATAATCATTCTAGACTAAAAAAATAATAGGAATAATAGTAGAGCAGTTATAGTTTGAGTTTGCTTGCACGTAGGTTACCTGCGGCAAAACTCAACATTTCCAATCCCATGACAGAGACATATAACATTATATATTACTGATAAGCATTGCTGAATTCGACCAAACATGTATGGTATGGGGAAGAAATCTTGAGTAAATTAAACAGAGATTCTAACAGAGTGAATACTACTACTAATAATAAATTGTGTGCCTCATGCTGGTGTTACATTGGCAAGCAAATCAGAAGGGTAGATGGCGACGCAATATGGAGGGCATCCTACGGCAGCAGGTGGGATGAGGTAAACCAGGTCGGTCAGGGTTGATCTTTTACCCTCTCTCTCTCTCCCTCTCTCCCACCTGCAAAAAAAGAAAGGGATTTTGTATCATTTCAAACAGTGAAAAATCTCATACTTTCATTTTAAAAGTGACACAGATGACCATGCTTGTTAGGTTTGTATTCAGTAGGGCAAAAGTCAGTGAAAGGAAGTTTTGTTTTTGTTTTTGTTTTTTTAATACGAAAGTGGTGGTGGTGGTAAATGATTAAGAAGAATCTGTGTGTCGTGTTTTCATGCCTATCCTCCCATTTCACTTCAGTCGAGTCTTGTAAATACTATATGTATATTTTATCTAATACGTCCAAACATATCCTTGTAAAGATAAGCTTTTGTCTCAAATTTCAACGTAGTTTTGTAATTCAAAAGCCCCCAGAATCTGTTTATAAAGAAGTTGGTTTGGGAACAACAGGATGTTCCTTGATTTATAAAGAAACTTAAACCAGGAATCTGCTTATAAAGAAGTTGGTTTGGGAACAACAGGATGTTCCTTGATTTATAAAGAAATTTAAACCAGGAATCTGCATTGTAATTCATTAACTCTCACATGCCATGGAGTAGGACGTTTTTCCCGAAATATCATCGGTGATCGGTATATTTACCAATCTAACACCGGTCAGATTATATTTTCCAACCTAACACCCGTAGCAGTAAAGTGCCCCCATGACCCGCGCTATATGCTGATTTGGCGTCACGTGGGGTATAGCGTGCCTCTTGCACCTAGCTATACGCTGACTGACTGGGTTACACGTGGCTATAGTGTGCCCCCTGTTCTGCGCTATACCTATTTATCTGACACGTGGGGTATAACGCAGTTCAGGGGGCGCGCTATAACTTTAATTACCCGACCGTTCACACCCCACCCTTCCCTATAAATACCTCATCCTCAATCACTTTCATCACACCAAATTCTCTCAAATTCTCTCAAATTCTCTCTCGTTTAAGGTATATTTTATAATATTTTTAATATTATGTATTTAATTTATTTAAGTATTTTACTTTATTTAATATTTTACTAATATAATTTTTTTGCAGATATATAATGGAAGGCGGTCTACTTCGCTTAGATGAAAATCATATATCTCGACACTTTGCTGATACGGTAACATTTTAACATTTTATTCTGCCTTAGTAGAGCAGTGGAGGCCGGAGACCCACACATTCCATCTTCTGTGCAGAGAGTGCACGATCACGCTTGAGGATGTTTCTATGCACCTGGGGCTTCCGGTGGATGGAGATATGATATTAGAGATAACTTCCGGTTCTTGGACTACTTTGTGCCAGGAAAATCTAGGACGTGTGCTGGAAAGTTTTATCGGAGGTAGGATACCGTTAAATTGGTTAGATGCCAATTTTCGGGAGTTGAGCGCAGACGCCTCTGAGGATGAGGTTAAGATGTATGCACGTGCATGCATATTGCAGTTGATAGGAGGGTTGCTGATGCCGGATAAATTGCGCAACCTAGTTCACTGCATGTGGTTGCGACATCTTAACGACTTTCGTCTCGTCGGATCATTCAGTTGAGGCTCAACAGTTTTGGCTTTGCTGTACAGGGAGATGTGTGGAGCCATTGACTACAGGCGTAATTCTATCGGCGAATGTCTCCTACTGCTGCAGTCTTGGGCATGATATCGATTGCCCTTTTTATGTCCCGTTGTGAAGAACCTATTCGTATTTCCACTACTTCTGAGGTAATTATAAAACTGATTTTGTATATTAATAATTTTATACAGTGTATAATAATTTTTTTTCTTGAATAGGTGGTCTACTGATAGGAAAAATCATCAGGAGCTACCTGATGATTTAGAAAAAATTAGGGTGCTAATCGATCAGAAGGCTGTCACACATGTATGAATTTTAATGTTTAAAAATCGATTTTAGATTATAGTTATATAATTAGATTATTATTTTGATAAAAATTATATATTATTTGTTTTAGTTTGAATGGGTGCCATATTCTACTGATGATGTGAGGGCGGTGATCCACCTGAGTTGAGGGGTCCATCAGATGTTGGATGGCGATGGTCCCTCTGATATGTTATGCGACCGTCGAGTGGCACTCCATCGCGTGCTCCGACAGTTTGGTTGTTTTCAAACCAATTCCGGATGCACCGCGCAATATGGACGAGTTGCATAGGTTAGATAGACGCGGCAAGACAGATACAGATTAGCTGGTGAGGCATCATGAGTGGGTCGTGTTGTGGTAGGATCGACATCGGCGCCTTCCCCGTAGAGAGCCCATTTTACTTGACCTCTTGAGTGTTGCTGAAGGTTATTATGAGTGGTTTAATGGTAACGGGAAACCGTTTCTGCTTTCCGTGGATGCACGAAGGCAGACCTTTTCGCGACGTCGACACAGACGTGATCCGACACAGTGCCATCATCCCCTGACTCGTGGACGGAGAGCAAGTGCTTCTGGTTCATCCTCAGCTGCACCAGCTATAGGAAACAATGTACCCATACTGCGATTGTATAGCTGAAATCAACACTGCAACAGCTATATGAGAGCTTGCTTTTACCATGGGCATGATGGCTTGGCATATCACTTCAGAGTCCAAGTTGGGATGATCTTGGTTGACCCTCCAGCACAACATGTGTGAGGACCGTTGTATACTGTTAGTTCCCATGTTGTTTCCTCTTCATGTACCCATACTGCGATTGTATAGCTGAAATCAACACTGCAACAGCTATATGAGAGCTTGCTTTTACCATGGGCATGATGGCTTGGCATATCACTTCAGAGTCCAAGTTGGGATGATCTTGGTTGACCCCTCCAGCACAACATGTGTGAGGACCGTTGTATACTGTTAGTTCCCATATGTTGTTTTTCCTCTTCATTTTCGATATGCGAACCATCCATTTGCATCCGTTTTCGCGTCGGGCACAGTAGCATACATATTTTTCGGTCGTAGATCGGTTTACTCTGGACTGAACAAAATTACGGATATTGTATTTTTTTATATCCATCACCGCTTCTTCTTTGCTTGAAAACTCCATGCCTAAAGATAACTCACCATTATTTATTAATGAGTAATATCCAGTCACCGAGATGAGTCATATCCGCAAATTCTGGCCCATACATTGCACCATAATCAACTTCATACATGTGTGCATGAGGGTCAGTTTGTGCCACATTTCCTGGAACTTCATCATCATCGGAGTTGAAATGCGGTGATTCTGGGTGAATGAATAGTCCAGTCTCAGCACCATCCGCACCAGGCTCACGAAGCGGTTCTTCTGGTGGAGATGATGGTTCATCCATGCTCTCCACATTTAGGTCGAAGAACATACTACTTGCACGCCTTCCCCTTAAACTGGAAGGCATATCGACATTGAGATCGAAAAAGCTCGCAGTCGAATGCCTCCCCCTAGAGCTTGAAGCCATCGTGTCAAATGGAAACTGCACAGATGGTTGCGCCGATGGCATCTCCATATGGTCAAAGAAATTTGCGGATGAATGCATTCCCCTTGAACTGGACGCGATGTTGCCATACGGATTGTTCGTGGACCCACCTCGGTACATATTGTAAGGGGTTGCGGATGAATGTCTTCTCAGTATGGCATTAAAATCATTACACATTACTGTAGTCGGGCTGTCAACTTGATCAACTTGTTCAGCCAACCCATAGTGGAAGCTTAATGATTGACCCCGGACAACACGCACTTGAACAAAATATGCGTACATCTCAATAACGGCGTCTGAATAATTACTTTGAGTTTCAACCATCATTTCAACATCATCATTGTTCGAAAGTTCGAACGCTGTATAAGTTAATGGCAACAATGATGTTGGAAATTTGTACTGCAACGACGACATTCTTCTACTACTTCCAACATGAATCTTCCTCGAAATCTTCATTATCAGCTCATCAAGAGTTATGTTTTCTCTTGAATGATATTTTAACACGCTCATTTGATACGAAAACAACGCCGGTTTCATCTTCTCGAATTTCACCATCATAATAAACAATAGCTGAAAGTCGCGCCATTCTTTGAGTTTAAAAGTGCGGTAATATTATATCTGCAAAAAAATAACTGAAACAAACCTGATTAAATAAATTATATATGAACGAAAATATAACACAATAAATTTTTACACATCAACGTAAATAATTTAAATAATATAATTGAAAATAATTAGTATAATATTTTTTCAAATGACACAGATTAAATAATAAGTATAATAAAAATATTTATAACAAAATTACCTTATAACGAAAAATCGCACGAACTTTTAAACTAAATATGAGAAGATTGCCAACATTATTAATTAGTTGACGGAATTATTGTATTAATTTATAAGTTGAGAG